CATCTACAATGTTTTCAAGACCCTACTCTGCTTAAATACAAAGAGTCATTTCGATTCCTTCTTTGAAAAGGAGAGGGAGGAGGGATTGGATTTTGTTCATTTGTTTTTCCTTTTGACTGAGTACATACATGAATAAAGCTGACATTCATAATGAAAACTAGTGTGGGCCAAGCAATATCCATAACTACCTTCAAGCTGTTCCAACTTAAGGTGCCATGATTTCAGTCCCTTGATAAAATGGTGTGCTGCTTTCCTCAGTGCACCTTGTGTCTGAGCTCATATAAAGGCAAGACTAAAAGCCAAGCACCTGATCAAAGGCCAAGTTTACTTTAATGGACAGGAAGGTCCATGAGGGAGCAGGCAATAGCTGAGGTGACTAGTTCCAAACCATGCAGAGTTTTAAAAGAGTTTCAGTACCTGAAATTGAACACAGAACCAAACTGACAATTATTGCTGTTAGGAGATTTAATCAGTGTTGAGTTCCAGATATATAACTAGCAGCAGTTGGGACCCTCAGAAGTTTTCTGGACTTTTTTCAAAGGCAACCCACATACAAAATAACATTACACTAATCCAAAATTTGGAAAAGTTACATTTTTATTACAATTCCCAGAATGCCCCAGCCAGGAGCCCACTGGCCGTGCTAGCAAAGAGATTCTGAGAGTTATTTTATTTTATTATTTTATTTTATTTTATTATTAAGCCTCTGGAACAATCTCCCTCCGGAGATTTGCACGGCCCCTACGCTGGGCATCTTTAAAACCCAAATGAAAACATAGTTGTTCATTCAGGCCTTCCCTCCAGCCAACTCTTGATTTTTTTTATTACTTTTCCCCATCCTTTATTTCATTGTAGCTATTACTGAATTATCATGTACTTGCCTGTGTTGTCTGATTTTGTATTGGAAGCTGCCTAGAGTGGTCTGGTAGTCCAGATAGGCGGGGTATGAATCAAATAAATAAATACATAAATAAAAATAATTTGCCCTCAATTCTTCCAGATTCTGAACTAAGTTAGGGCATGGGTAATGGAGGTCATCTGGTTCTTCTCCAGAGAAGAACAGACCTAGAAATAAATTATATGCCCTCATAGTTAGTTCTTCCAGATTCTGAACTAAGTTAAGGCATGGGTAATGGAGGTCATTTGGTTCTTCTCCAGAGAAGAACAGACCTAGCAACCCAGAATTGTTAACAGCACTCTTCATCATTCCAGTTAAGGAAAATAAGAACCGCCCCTTAATGAAGGGATATGGATTGTGGAGAGCTTCAGATATGGTTGGACGGCAACTCCCATCAGCCAACAGTGAATGATGATAACACTTACAGTTCAGTAACATCTGGAGCAGCGATTTTCAACAGGGGGGCATAGTGTCTCCTGAGGAGCCCTGACACATTGGAAGGGAATCACAGACTCGTAACAATTTTTCACACACTACCTTATAAGGTTTTTTATGTGATTTGTCCAGCTCTAATTCAGCCTATATTTCTTTCATATTGTGTTTATGGTAGTGGCCAAAAAAAGATTAAGAATTGCAGATCTAGAGGGTGCCGTAGTTCACCTAACAGTATACTTTCTCCTTGGAGAGGAGCTCTTGCAGGCTCTTCAAGACCGCAAGGATTTCTGAACAATGTTCTTATCTGAAGTGGGAGGTGTTTAAAGAATGTTTAGATAGCAGAAAGACTCACTATTCTGGGAACTAATTGAATACTTTGGTAGGAAAAAAATCTATCTGTCACTAGGAGGGTAGACACTGAGACTTACAAATACATCAGGATCTTAAATGAAGGTATTTCTTCAAATGAGTGAATCATCTACCATAAATGAAAGTCCATTCGTGTAGAAACCAGTTGCTAGGGAAACTCAGCCAAAATCCTGTTGACATAAATTTGTGTTATATAACCTGGATTGAGCAGCAGAAGTATCTCATTTAAAAGAATTTTAAACTTCTTATCCCCCTCCTTTTAGATTCTGAGGTCCCTGGGGCTCCTTTTCGACCATTGGAAACCATTGGGACATGGGGAGGAACTTTTACTGTTAAAAGCTTCCTCCCAGTTCCTGATGCTCCCAGGGCATAAGGGAGCCCCAGGGAGCCCAGAACCTAAAAGGAGGGAGATAATAAGCTTTTATTTACTTCAAATTAAATGTTTCCCATATCTGGTCCAGCTTATGGCACATAAAGTTACACCAACAGGATTTTGCCTACTATGTAGTATATTGAAAGACTGATGCTGACAGTGATAGAGACAAGGACAATAATGATGAATTTTCACAGAGAAGTATTTAGTCAGGTGAGCTCCCTTCTGGAGTGATACAGCTCAGATATGAGTTAGTATGTTAATAAGAACTAAACCTCTCTCTCCCATTATGCTACAGGCATGTCTATCTATGCAATGAGGAAATTTTAAAATCTCAAAGGATCATCAGCCTCCAGCTATTCCTGGCAATCTCCTACCAAGGCTGATATTTTTATTGCCCTGATTACATTGTTTTGTTTGAAAGAAGTCCTGGAAGTAGATAGATTTAGTTGAATAGAGGAGAGATAACACTGATTTCTTTTTTTAAAAAAAAGCTATATGAGGAAGGCAAGAAGGAAACAACACAAAAGACTCTATTGAATTATATTAGAGAATCTTCTGAATACATCAGCTGATAATATGAACAATAATACAAGGATAGAGCAATTCTGTGCCATCCTCACAGCTCAGCCAATATCTCAGGGGTCTCACAGACAGTCAACCTGAATATTTAAGCCTTTCACACATAGAAGCCTGCAATACATAATTTGTTCTCCTTCTTAAATGTTTTTAAGGATTCTCCTTTTAGTCAGATGCAGGGATAACTTTCATTAATCACAGGACAAATTATGCCTATGAATAGGCTGCAAATACAGGAATTTAAACTCTTCAGAAAAATCTTCTTTTCATTATTCCTGAAAGGCTGAGTGCCTTAACATAATGTAATCACAAAATGCCCTAAAAATTGTAAACAAAGCTAATTTCTTTGTAACCAATTCAGTATGTCTGAGATGATCTATTCTTTTTTCAAAGCACATATTCATCTAGGCAATAGCACTGAAAACTAATTACAGCTGGTGTAGTCATCCAAAATAACACCTCTTATTTAATCGTCCCAGGGACAAAACATTCCATGCGTATGCAACTTATTTCAGGATCTATAATTTTTGATGACTGTCTATCTGCCTCCTTCCCATAACCTCTAAATGTATTGAGGTTGCATAGATAACAATTTCAGCAATATTTTTACCTGAAGCTCACTTTTAGATAATCTTCGAGCCAATTTTCTGTCTTTTCTCTCTCTTTTTTTCATTAAAATTAATTTTAAAACAGATTTGCCCAGGATAAGTTAAAATCCAGTGAGTTAGGACAGTATATGCATAGTGTTTCTGGATCATAGCAATTGTTTTTCTGCATCAGTTTGTAACAGTGTTGGGGCAAGTAATTGTGTGGCATCTAAAATCCAGACAGCATACAGAACGCAGTAGCTCATCACTTCATCTTCAGTGTTGTATTCTAGCAACTAGTGATTTAAAGTCTTTGAGAGTTCTTGCACATGGGACATTTCAACCTTTTTAAGTTCTCCTTCAAGCATGGATGACAACAGGAATCCCCCTGAAATCCAAACAACAGTCCCCTTATCCCCACTTCACACTACTTTTTTTGCTTCTTTTCCTGGACATTTTTATCCCTCACCAAACCACTAGCTATTTTTTTAAAAAAAAAAATCTGTTGTGGGGGTAAAGTTTCACTATGTGACTCTTCTCTTCATGCTTTAATTTTGTTGTTATCTCTGTTGTTGTTGTTTTAAAGGAGAGGAGGAGAACTATGGCATTTGCCTCACAACTGGGGAGATCAGAGAAATCAAAGAGAGAGAGAGAGAAAGTTGCACTGTAGCTTTTGTTTTTCCTTGTCACATCCCCTTTAAGATACTTTATAGGGAAAGAAGCATCAGGTACACAACAACATCCAGTAGTAAGTCACAATTAAAGTAGATCCATTGAATTAGCAGGGTTTTGGTGAGTCAACACTTATAAGCTCCATTCATGAGTTTACATGGGTTTACTGTTGCTGTGACTTACTACTGATTTTCAGGAAATGAAAGAACACTAGGATGCTCAGGAGGCAACAGATCTTCCTCTCCCCTTGATGCAAGATGGGTGTTGGATTTATCTTTTGTTTCCACAAGTAAGTGACTTGCATTTCTATGGCTCCAGTATGGAACATGGGAAAGCAAATCCTGTAATTTTAAGTAGGTTTACATTCTTGTAGGATAAAGCAGAACACAGCAAAACAAATGGCTCCATTTGGGACAGTCCTAAATTTAGCATTTCTGTTTAGGTATGCTTGCTGGATAGCTCAGTGACTTACGTATTAGACTGCAAAGCCAGAGGTTGGGAGTTCAATTCCCAGAAAAGCCACCCTCTGTCAAGCTATACGGTCCCAGGGCGCTCCCAGAAGAAGGGAATGGTAAATCTCTTCTGAGTATTTTCTACTTGGAAAACTCTTAAAAGGATCACCATAAGTCAAAGTTGGCTTGACAGCACACTACTGTATTATTATTATGGCTTATAATCGTTAGTATGGCTATCGTCCTCTGTCTAAATTTATCCTATGGCTAAATCTATTCTCCATGAATTTAGCTAATCTTCTTCCCAAGTAATCTGAGCCAGTGGCCCTCACCATATCTTATTGCAGTAAATTTCACAAACGAAATGCAAATTATCCTTGGAACACTCTTAAAAGGATCACCATAAATCAAAGTTGGCTTGACAGCACACTATTATTATTATGGCTTATAATCATTAATATGGCTATCGTCCTCTGTCTAAATTTATTCTATGGCTAAATCTATTCTCCATGAATTTGGCTAATCTTCTTCCCAAGTAATCTAAGCCAGTGGCCATCACCGTATCTTATTGAAGTAAATTTCACAAACGAAATGCAAATTATGGGGAGGAAATCTTTCCTTTGTCTTGAATTGCCATGCCCTATCTGGCTGAGTCCCCTTCAGAAAATGAAGGTGAGGATGGCCTGCTTCAGCATAAGGAAACCAAGGATGAGAACGTTCTTGAGGTCCCAGCTGGGAGTCCCTTCCAAGGACCACAGGAGATGGAGAAGGTGGCTCACTCTGCCAAAGGAGAACCCATCCTTATGATGGCAGTTTGATGAATGAAGATTCTCCCTGCCCTAAAGAACACTGAAAATTCCAGGTGTTAGAAGTGTTTTAGATTTTGAATCAGAGAATTAAGTCTGAAAGAAGCTTTGCTAGGCGATCTATTGGTTAACAGAATAAATGGCTGTGGTGTTCCTGGGGGCTTTGAAACTCAGCTTATTCTGTTCCCTTCAGCAATAAAGGAGGCAGAAGATTAAGCTCAAAGAAATTAAATTAAATTAAATTAGATTTCTTTAGGAAACCATTTGATAGAAAATCTTATGCTAAACAAAACAGAAGACCATGTCTCAAAGCCCGAGCACATGGTCCAGAGAAGAGAAGTTTGGCACACTCTTAAGAAGGAGATGTTAACAACCTGGGAGATCAAAAAAGAGGAGACAGGAAGTAGGCGCAACTCTTTAGTAGGCACAACAGGACAGTGGAGACAGCCCGGAAAAGGAATAGTTGCAACCTTCTCTTACTTCCAGAATGCCCTATTGGGCATCCATGGGGAGAAGTACAAAGGAGGTGATGTTCTGGAAGATCCTTCCAGCAAGAAGGAAAGAGTCCCAGGTTGCAGTGAATAAATACTACTCTTCTAGCCATGCCCAGACTGCAGAAAGCAGTGTTTGTAATTTCATTCTGCTCTGGCCTCCTTACATTGCATCAGCCTACACTCCTGTTTGTCAGTTTTGACTGTCATGAATCTGCTCCTGCTTGCTCTTTCTTGGCCCTGTCAGATGCGTATGTACATGATTTATGACTTAACTGACTACTTGGTTCTCTTTCATGAGTCCCCTCTTGCACATCTCTTGAAACCCAGCCGACTATTCTATGTGACCTGGACTGGCTGTTGCCTCCCTTTCAATTCTCTTTACAAATGCTGGCTGCTTTAGAAGAACATTTGCATGAATTCCATGAATATCCATGCTATTTGATCACAACAATTTGTGATATTGATGGATTATTGTTTGCCCACTTTCTCTACCACATCATGCTGAGTCTCAATACTTGCTCATTACCCTAGTTCATAAATCTGTGCATGGACCCAAAACACCCAGAACTGCTGAGATTTTTTAAAGGCTTATTATGTACACTACATTGTGCACTGTGCTGAAGTACAGTAAAATTAGTTCACTGACAACTGTTGAATGTCAAAAATTCATGTGTTTTACCATATTTTTACCCAAGAGAAAAGTAACAGATTATAATGCCAGCCCCAGTGCTCGACTATTCTTAATCACCTTGGTAGAGGAAAAGGTCTGGAGTGATGGTTGTTCATGGAAGGAACAGGAAAAGTGTAGGGTACAGGTATGGGAACCGTACCCTCAAAATAGGGTCACTACTTTGAGTGTCTCCTTAAACATCTGGACTGAAATCTGGAAATGATTCAATGCTCTTGCAACATAAAACTCATCAGTGGTACTGCACTGGCATTAATGTGTCTTTGAAGTTAGGAATGGAGGAATCACCTCAAACTGCAGGTTGTTTTCACGTTCAGTCCATTCAGATGAGGTTGTTACAGGTGTCTAAGACAGCTGTCTAAGACTGTGATGAGACTGATGCAATGCAGTGCAGTTTTTTCTCTGCAGGAACCTTCCTGCATTATTCCTTCTGACGACATGCAGATGACAAGGATTTAAGATCGGACTACTTCCTCTAACCTTCTTCCCCTTCCACCTTCTTACTTCTTATCCAGTGTGAAGAAAGCTCTCTTAAAAGCTTAAAAATGGAAAATTGACCTCCCAACTTCTGGCTCTTCAGCCAAATGCGTTATTCATTGAACTCTGTCTTTACTTCACTGGCTAGAGAGGCAATAAAACTTCTTTATTTATGCACATTTCACCTTATATTCTGGGTTCTTAATATGCTTGCTTGTTTGTTTTTTAAGGCCGGGAATTCAGATAATAGAGTTGCCAGCTCAACAGCATCCCATCCCTTGTAGTTTTAGGACCAAATTTTGAGACCAGAAGATAGATCCTTGTTCATCAATCTGGGCACTGTGGAGCTAAAGGGGATCAGAAGAAGACATTCCTCAAAGTCCCAGAAATAATAATCGCTAGATGCCAAGGCTGGCCTCTCTTACCTAAAGTAAGCTCCAAAATGGATGCTGCAGCCTTTTAAATAAGCTTCAGGACATCTGGTTTTGCTTCAGTGTGTTGGGCTGCATTAGAGATGTAGTGGGTGAGGAACAACAGACATTTGTTTCAGTACCTGTGGAATTCCAAGGAAGCCCACCTGTCTTCTCTGTTAATCTTCTGTTGACAAGTTCTCCTTCTTTGAGTTCCTCTTTGATATTGATGGAGTGCTTTTATGGGGCCAGCTTGTCATTCCTGCTACTAAGAAAGCTTTCCAGAAACTAACAGATTCAAAAGACCAGTTCCATGTGTCAGTTGCATTTGTAACCAGTGCTGGGAACCGCTCTCAGGACAGCAAAGCGAAAGAACTATGTGAAGCCCTTGGATTCAAGGTATCTCCTGAATGGGTAATCCTCTCCCATAGACCACTACATTATTTCCATCAGTTCTATGACAAGTGTGTGCTTGTCTGTGGACAAGGTCCCATGGAAGAAAATGCCAGGGACCTGGGATTCCACCACATCATTACCTTTGAAGAGGTGAGGAAAGCATTTCCTCTGCTGGACATGGTTGATCACAGCCAAAAGCCAAAAGAACGGTCTCCTCCACCCTCTGACTTCCCCACCATAGAAGGTATAATTCTGTTCAAGGAGCCTGTCCAAAAGGAGACCCATCTGAAGTTTATTGACATATTCCTGAGCAACGGGAATCTAGGGGTAGAATTAGCTGCTATGCCATACCCACATCTGCTTATTCTGCCTTGCAACGTGGATCTCTTATTTATTTATTTATTTATTTACAATATTTTTTAGCTGCACCATTGCCAGTGGCTTCTGGGCGGCGTACAACATTAAAACTTAAAAACATTAAAAACATTTTAAGAGACAGTATAAAATAACATATATTAAAATATTTCTTAAAACATTAAAATTAATTAATTAAAATGCTGGGTGAACAGAAAGGTCTTTGCTAGGGAGCGAAAGGTCAAGAGTGTCAGAGCCAGGCGGATCTCTCTAGGGAGGGTGTTCCAAAGTTGGGTATGGATAGCAGAAGCCAAGATTTGGTCATGGCACTTTTCTGGTGTGCTTGGAGAATATCTACAAGACAAATGACTGGCAAAGAGTTAACATGTAGAGCACTGATATGCAAACCCAGCATAGTCACCTACCGCTATGCTGAGCACGTGATCCAGCAAAAGATGGAGAGCTGTGGCTTGTAATATGCTGAGGTGAAAGCAGTCCCGGGTGCATTTGGCAGGGAACCTAGGTCTATTCCTGGTCCAACAGATTTTGAAAACCAGCAAAGAAATTCTACTCCCAAATGGTGAGGTGGACCCATGCACATACTCCCACTGACAGTCTCCCAGTCCTTGCCCATGTTCTTAGTTTTTGTGTGTGCTAAATGTGCACAAGCAGAAGATACATGCAAACCCTTGTATGCTGAGCCAAGGAGCACTGGAGCCACTTTGGAATGGATTGAGATGCATGCCCAGATTTAGGTGCTATCTCAAAAACAAGAGTTAGATTGTTCATTCAGTGGTGCTCACCATTAGAGTGGTCTCCCTACATGAAGATCCAGGAAAGCACATTAATTCCTTGAGACTATCAGCAAAAATTAGCTAAATTATGTATTCAGGAAGCATATGGCAGAGACAGCTCTGATTCAGAATATGTGAAGGATGGGTTGCCTATTTAGAATGCTAGCAAAAATTTCTCAAATGTGAACAGTGTGAATTAAAAGAAAGATTGACGAACCTTTAACCTAACACATTTGCTTTTTATACACAGGGAGTTGGGTATCTGAAATGGGTTTAAGTTCTCTGCCTGCATTTTAAAATGGGAGCTTCAGATGAGAACAGCGAAGTACACTCCAATTCAGGTTCTCTAAACTTTGGATGGTTTGCTCTGCTATATTACAAAGCTGAACAATTTATCTCATTGTCATGAAAAAAATAAAGCTGTTCTGAAGTCATTCCGGGTTATAAAGTTTTGAACAGAAGTATTAAGCAGAGGTGGGTTTTTTTCTTCTTTCATGCCAAAGCCAAGGCACTTAGACAGAAGTCACAGAACATCTTTTTGAATTTCTTGCCCTATTGATTGTGCCACCAGGCTTCATTATCATTATCTATCTTTTTGTCAGATTTAAGTACCCTCCTATTGAGAAGTGAACCTTTCTCAATTCAATACCTACCAGCAGGGGGAAAAGCCAATGAAAAACAGAAATTGTGTTGGATCTGGTGCCATCAAGTGATCCCAAGGTGACTGTATCATCTTCTGGCTATACACTGGAGGGGGGCGGGTGGAGATTTTTCCTGGTTGAGTTTATCCAACTGAAATAAAGTTGAGTTAAATAGATCGAGCTTTTTAATCACTGCAAAGTAAACTGCACTGCAAAGTTAAAACAGTTCCCATTGCCTTCTTTAACCCTGAATGCAAAGTGTTCTTGAGACTAGTGTTTAATACTAGTTGTACTTGTAATTTAATTTAATTTAATTTAAGAGACCGAGTAATTTGTATTTTGATGTAAAGCCAACCTCTGTGCAAGACCCCTTATTCCTATTCACACAGCAATTACAGTGGTGCCTCACTTAGCGATGTTAATCCGTTCCGGAAAAAACTTCGCTAAGTTATTTCATCGCTAAGCGATATGAAAAAGCCTATAGGAACGTATTAAAACACGTTTAATATGTTCCTATGGACTAAAAACTTACCTTAAAGCGAAATTCCTCCATAGCGGTGGCCATTTTGAGTGCCTCTACAGCGAGGCAAAATAGCGGTGGCCATTTTGTTTTTGCAGCAGCCATTTTGGAACTGTCGATCAGCTGTTTAAAAAAGTTCGTTTTGCCATGATCGCTTCCCCGCGATCATCGCAAAGCGAATTTTAGCCATATGGGCCATCGCTAATCAATCACTCCAGCGATGGCCAAAAGTCCATCGCAAAGCAATTTCATCGCTCTACGGAGTGATCGCTAAGTAAGGCACCACTGTATACCTAAAATGAACTTGGACATGAGATCTCACCCACTGGTTATATCCAATGCTGTAATTAAACTGTTCTGAAGTAGGTTCAGTCATTTTATGCATGAGGCTCTTTTCCACTTATTCAGGATGTGATAATCCAAACTTTTGGCATCTCACTTGCTCAGTCAACAGTTTAGGGCCCTGGACATCTGCCCCAATGTCCCTCCCTGATGCACTAATGCTTCCACTTCTGATCAGCTAGAGATCTGTAACTATTCAGATTTCAAATGGAAAGATCAAATGGCTCAATGGTCTTCCACCTGTAAATGTCTCCCCAGATGCAATCACTTAGTTATTTTTGAAGTACGGAAGTAAGGTTCAAATTTCTCCCCATCACAATCGTTTTCTATTTGCAGCATTCACCCATGAAATCCCTCCACTGCAACCGACAATTGGTTCACTCTGGGAAGATTTTTTTTTTACACGAGTATTCCCAGAAAATATTCAGGAGGTACATAATACACTGGAAGTAAGCAAAGTGACAATAAATATTTTGCCTCCTGGCCTCAGGTAAAGAAAATGCTATGTGGACTTGGAGGCAAGAATAAGTAGAGCCAGAGTGATCATTATGCAGGGCCGAGCTGGGCAATGCTCGTTTGGCTGTCATATTACACCCTAATGATAGCAACAGCATTACTACAATATTCCTTTGCTGAATATAAGAATAGTTTTACCTGTCACCAGGTGACAACACCCTTCCTTCATGTTCTGTCACCACTTCCAGCTCTGAGGCTAGAAATTTTTCTGTTGCTTATGGGTGGGTGGCAATCCTGAGGTGAATACTATCGTGATATGGCTCCTGCACACTTCTGACCATTCAGAATAAAGAAGATAGACTATGGTAGCAGTGGGGAAGAAATGAACACCAGCTGTCAAATAGGAAGATTCCAAGATACGTACAGGGTGCCACAACAGTTTAAAAAAATCCTGTATAGGCTTACAACATGCATCCCTGGAAAGGTTGGAAAAAATTAATATTTGAAAAGGAAAGGAAAGGAAAAAGAAAACATATGAGATCATGGTGATACTACTGACGAATAAAAGGTATTGACCAATCAGGCTGCTGACTGAAGGATTTTTAAAAATCCAGCAAGGGCATCCTTTGTTCTGTCTTAGATCTCCCTCTTCAGCTCACCATGAGAAAGCACTGGTCTGGGGACAATGAGAGTTGAGAGACGAGATGCTTTGAGTAGAATCAGAGATAGAATAAATTAGTCACATCTGGGATTATGATTGACTGTGAAGTCAAGTGGGCCTTAGAAAGCCTGGCTAACAACAAGGCCAGTGGAGGTGATGGCATTCCAGTTGAACTATTTAAAATCTTAAAAGA